GTGTCTTAAAAACAGTACCATCCATGTACCTTCATAGTTGAGCAAACAGGTAACATTGAGACACACAAAAGACAATATCATCTTGAGAAAAGATCAAATATAAAATGATCAGTTGTTACCAGAGGAATGATGAAGCTTTGTGTCAGTTCTAAGAAGTAGCGTCGAAGAATTGCATTTTGGGCTGCAGAAGGTCTTTTCTGTTGAACACCCTGAGAAACAAACAAAGCACATAGTATCCAGTTATTACTATATTTTAGTTTTTCTGAAAGAAACATTTTTTGGTCCTCTAGCCCTCAACATATGAATATAAGACAATGTGGCCCGCAAAATTATAATTATTTTATTTTTTCTAGTTGTTTCTTATCGGTTTAAACTCTCCCTAAAATGAAAATACAAATCTATTTTTAGAAATGTTTTAAAAATTAATTTGCTGCAAAATAACAGTGCTCACAAATGTGTGCAAATGGATTACTGTTTAACTGCGAACAACAAAGATGCTATAAAATTCTATAAAAAATGTATGGAAACTGCTGTTTGCATTGTTTTAGTTAAATATTATGTTAATAATGGAAAAATATTGTCAGAATATTGCACTTTCTTGGAGCACTTCCTCTTGTAGTTCTACCTCTTATGATGCCAACAGTGGCACAAAGACCCCTGATTCAAAGAGAAAGTTTTGATGTGTAATTTAAGAATAACTAAACCCCAAAACCACCACATTTAGTAGTGTTGTTAATCAATTTAGGTCCAAATCCATGAAACACGTAAAGAACATGGGCAGGACATTGAGGAGAGACCGTCTGACCTTCTGAAGCTGTTTGATGATTTCTTCATCCTTGTTGAGATACGGCTTATATGCAGTGTACACACCTGCAAAACACACACACACACAGATGAAGAAAGAGAAGCCCAGCTTGTCTGACAGAGACTCAACACTTCCCCCTAGTGGAGAATCTGCAGCCTCATAAATGTAAATGAGTTTGTGAGTGAGGACAAGTTCTGTGAGGAGCTTCACATTACAAACAATACTCAGAAATAAACACAAACAAACGGACAGTGTGGAGCATTTACCAGGTTTAGAATCCAGAGTTTTGAGGTTTTTCAGTTTCTTGACTTTCATCTGCTTGGCCATCTCTCCTGAGAGGAGCAGACAGACAGAAAGAGGAAAGATCAGACAGACAGTCGAGGGTTTTCAACACAGGAGTGGCCAGCATGTGCTGAGATTTAATTTTGTATAGTGACAGTATATACACAGAGTGACCAGCAAACAAGACTAAGTCACAACCCTGTACGTGGCAGGACCGTGTATGTTCAATGTGCTCCTGACGATGTAATTGAGGACAGTCTCACTGTAAAACTAACTTAACACTTGACTTCCGATAAAGTAAGTCCATGAATAGATATGAGTTTAGAGTTAATTACAATTCTTCCTCTGTACTGAGGAGCTGTATAGCAGAGTGTGCAGCCATGTTTGCATGTTTATGACGTTTGTCTTTTATTAATTAAACACAAAATCACATTTGACTTTAGTGGAATATTTGAACTTCTTCATAGTAGCAGCATTATCTACCTGCTTGCTTCATGTCTCCGATGCGGATGATGTGCGGCCAGTGCTGCAGGGTTTTAGCAAAGAAGGGATTGGTCACACCCAGAATGACTGACGGCCTGTAGAAAGAGACAGATCAGTTATTAACTTAGGCAAATACTAACAAATCTCTATGCAGTTACAGGGACAAGGAGCCAGATTCACACTGCAAACCTCCTGAAGTTTAATTCCTACCACTATAAACCTTTAAGGTGAGCTCAGAAAAGTCAGCTTCAAAATAAACTGAAGGTACACCAGTGTGTTTGGAACAACTTCAGGAGGAAAGTCAACCAAGAGCCCCAAAAAGCATTTCTTTAAAAACATCCAAACAGAGAGCTTGATACACTTCAAACTGTGGCTAAACTGACAGCACGGCCGAATCAACTTGGTAATAAAAAAAAAAATGTAATTGTGAAATATTATTGATGTTTAAATTATATCTAACAGCAGCCAATCTTTCCTGTCTGTGTCAGTTATCATATGAGGGCAAAAGACCAAAAATATAAATAATGAAACTTAACTAAGATTGACATAAAAAGAGAATTATGATATTTAAAAGACAATTGTATGATTTTTTTAAACTTTTTTTAAACTTTTTTTAACACCTCATAATAATTATTTTATATATATTTAGCACATCACCAACAATGCTTTTTTGCCTTAACATACTAATTTCCTTTATATGCTTTGGTCACATGAATGTGCAGTTTTTACATATAATGTTAATAAAACAAATCAAAATTGAAAGAAAGAAACTTTACTGAAACTTTTAAAATAGTTACATTTGGTCCCATATGAAGGAAGTATATAACACTGTTTTCTATGTAAACGCTGTATTGACATGTGATCTAACAGGATACGCCACTGTACAATTTTCCGGCACTGATGAAAGTGAACACAGCAGAAAATCAGCATTTTTATCACATTCTCTCCCTAATCCAAGTTAAACCCGGTTCACACTGCCTGCTTCTGCAGTGCGTGGCTGCACCCATGTCCGTTCGTCTCAGCTGCTTCACTAGAGAGTCTCGCCTATTTTTTTCTGCAAACCACGTGCGATTCCCAGCAAAAAAGTGATAGTCTGTGCTACAGGTGTCAGATTACACAACTTTACACCACACAGCCAGTGTGTGACGCACCTAAGTTATGTTGAACCTCTCAGGATGAGACTTACAATAAGCTCTTCTCAGACTTACAAAAGGTCACTGGTTAAAATCTTTACTCACGGAGCCTGCGTCCTGGTGGTGTACTCCTTAAATTCGCTGTCGTGGATGGTGAAGTACGGCCGGAAGTCGCTGCAATAACGCAGAGGAGAGATACAACTGCAGAGAGAGACAAAGAGAGAAATGTCTTAATGTTTGAAAGCCTGACGAGGGGCTTCAGCGGCAGACAGCTGCATACGCCAGGTAATTTCACAAAGAAACCACAATGTTTTCAAAACCTTTATAAACAGAATTTAAGATGTGAAATATTACATTTAACTGTGCTGATGACATGAAAACATATTTTTAGACATTTTACGTCTTTTCATGGACTTAAAGACACAACTTCAGAATACACATTAAACTGGATTTGAAATTTAACTTCAAAT